CATGCAAAGAAGTCAGCTAAAAGCTCCGCTTTATCCATCCTGTCTCTTACGAGTTGACCAAGGCCATTCTGTAGAGGCCCTGTGCTCCCTATGTACATAAAGGACTTTTAGTTACTCTTAATCTTTGTTGCCAGCTTAAGTTCAGTATGTGCTTTGGCCTTCCTCACTGCTTCTTTACAAACTCGAGCCAAGCAGGTATACTGTTCCTTGGTGGCCGCTAGGGTTGTGAGAAACAGCACTGTTCCATTTCACCTTGTGTTTCGACGGTTTGAGGGCACAGTGTTTCATCTCAAATTTCATTTCAAGTCGAAACAGCTGTTCCGTTCCATTGAAACAGAAGGTTGTTTTGACACTGCTTCAAGTTTTGCTGGGGCTGGGAGGCAGTCCAGCTGGGCTGCTTCCCAGTGTCCCGCCCTAGATCACGCTGGGGGCGGGATGCAGCCTGGCGGGGCTGCTTCCCGGTGCCCCATGCTAGATCGCACCAGGAGCGGAAGGCAGCCCAGTAGGGATGCGTTCCCATGCCCTCTGCTAGATCACACCAGGGCTGCTTCCTGGTGCCCTGGGCTATATCGTGCTGGGGGTGGGAGGCAGCCCAGTGGGGATGCTTCCCCATGCCCCATGCTAGATCAGGAGAAAGTCGAACGTTTCGACATTTGAAACATTTCCACCAGCCTTGTTTTGTTTCGAGGCTATTTCGACAGCCTTTGTTTTGTTCCGATTTTGCTGTTTCAACCTCAAAATTGGTTCAAACAGTGTCGGAATGAAATGACCGGCAAAACTTCGCGCAGCCCTAATGGCCTGCTTCCACAACCTGTAAGCCTGTCTTTTCCTCTGAATGTTCTCCTGGATTTCCCTGTTCAGCCAAAAAGGTTTTTTGGCTCTTTTGCCTTCCTTTGTGTGAACTGGGATGGTGCCCCTCTGTGCCCACAGGATCAGTCTCTTGAGGAACTCCCACCCTTCTAGGACTGCCAGCTCACAGATGTGATTACCCTTCAGTCCCATCCTAATTAATCTCCTGAGCTCATTGAAGTTGGCCTTCCATAAGTCTAGCACTTCTGCCCTACTAGTTGTTTTTCCCACCTTTTGCCAGATAGTGAATCCTATCAACTGGTAGTCACTATCCCTTAGGTGACCTTGTACCCGTAGATCCCACACCTCTGGTTCCCCCACCCTGTGGCCAGCACTAAGTCAAGTACAGCATTTCCCCTAGTGGGAGTGCATATCTCCTGTGTTAGATGCAGGTCCTGTGTGCAGGTTAGGAACCTACATGAATGGGAAGACCTGGCTGACTGCTCCTCCCAGCAGATGTCTGGGTAATTTAGGTCACCCATGACAACTAGGTCCTTTGAGCGTACTGCCTTTAAAGAGCTGTTTTGAGAATTCTAGGTCTAACTCCTCTTTCCAAGCATCCCCCGGGTGCAGCTCCCGGTTGATCTTCCTGTTGTCCCTCTTCACGTAGTTGGGCATCTGTGCTCTTCTCTCTTTGTTCTTCAGGAGAAGAACCTGACTGTAGTAGTTGTCAGTCTCCTGCTCAGGGGCTCTGATGGCATGAAGTCTGCCTACCTGGGCCTGGAGCTCAGTCACCTGGGACTCCAGGGACTTCACTAAGGAGCATACACCACAGGTTGGGGTGACCTTGCCCCCATTCGCAGTTACTGGCAGCCGTGCCAGGCAGCCCCTGCAGCCCAGAACCAGGGGCTCCATCTGAGTGGAGGCCAGAACCATGGGTTTCGTCTAGGTGGAGGCCTCAATGGTGCCAGGGAAGGGAGCACCAGCTGCAGCTGAGGAGGGAGGCCATGGGGTATGATGCATCCCCACCATTGTATGGTAATTGGCTATGCCAGGGGTTGTCAACTGGGGGTATGCGTACCCCCGAGGGTACTTGGAAAGGGGCTAGGGGGTACGCGCGGGTGGGTATGCGCAGTGGCTCCACTCTATGCCAGACAGTGCGGGGGAGCTCACATGCAGCAGCTGCCACTGCCACCCACCACCCCATGCCACCACCACCATGTATAAGCCCTACCCCTCACTCTGCATCTGGCTGCCACTGCCCCCGTCACTCCGCATCCGGCTACCGCCAGCCCCCCACTCCACGTCCAGCCACTGCCACCCACTCTGCTCCACTCTGCGTCCAGCTGCCACCACCTCCCCGCTCTGTATCCACTCCCTAAAAAAGGTTGAAAACCCTTGGGCTATGCTACTACCATGAACTGCTTCCCCTATTTGCAGTTCCTGGTCACATGGTGAGTCTCCTTTTATACCCTTCTGAGCCTGGGCTCACTCAGCCCCCTTGTTAGTGCTCCCCTCAGAGAGTGCCGGCTGGGGAGTGGGAGCAGCAGAAGTGATCCCTGCGGTCCCCCTGTGGCCAATTGTGCTGACCGGGGGTGGGGGAGGCTTTCCCCCATGGCTGACTGCGCTGGCCCATAATTGCCAGCAGCACGCCTGGAAGTTGGTGTTATTGGCTGTGGGGGACCCTCCTCCTGGTTGCTGTGATCAGCTGCAGGTGAATCCCCTCCCCTGGTGGCTGACCGGGGGCAAGTGCCCCCCTAACTCAGGAGGCACCAGTCACCCATGAGCAAAACCAAAGACACAGGCAGCTGCTGTAGAGTTTTATATGCTCATCTATATTTTTTATTTCACAGCTTATGGCTTTCAGTAACAGAAAGCTGGTAGAGTCACCTTTGAGAGAGCAACAGCACAGAGATGCTTAAAGGTGACTCAGCTGCCGACTAGAGATTAATAACAAATGCATTATCCTCCATCAAATTTAGGGGACCCTGAAATGAGACATTTTCCTTTGGTATCTCGAGATCTGATCCTGTTTCCACGGCAGCCAATAGCTACATTCCTATTGATTTCAGTGAAAGCAAAACTGGCCCTATCATCATTATGAGATACAGATTTCCCACACTTTATGCAGGTTCTGTATGTGCAAATTCACTCTTATGCAATGACCCTTTTTATATAAAAAATGTATTATATGTAAGGTAAATTCACTCTTATGAGATCAGTGTGGCAGAAGCCCAAGCATTTTGCTCCCTGTTGCACCTGTGCCGCACCCCCTGCCTGCCCAGTGGCAGGACACATATGGCATTGCGTGGCTTTCGGGGCAGCGGAGCTCAAAGTGCAGTGCACAGCTGCAGCTGCTCCACCCCATCTCCCTGCCTTTTCCTGAGCTCTGAGATAACGCAAACACTAGCCTTGATGTTCTGCTTCTACATAAAAGCAAGTAAGGGCTTTTGTAGCAGGTTCCTTCTGTAGCCTGTTTTGTCTTGCATCCAAGGGAATTTAGAATTGATTCTTGAATAGCTCACTGTAAAAGATTAGCGTCCCAACCTGGACATCTACTGAATGTATTACAATTGCTTAGATTCAGCATCAAATAAAATCTAACACGGATCCTGTTCTATGATACTGTAGGTTGAAAGATTAACTCCATACAAAGGAAATTTAACCCATGCAAATTAAAAAAACAAAATATTAATAATGACCTTGTAGCATGCCAGCTTGCAAAGGCTGTAGCAGAATGCACACTCCAGGCTGGAGGTGTTTGCAGGCTTACAGGAGACTACAGCCAACTGCAGGCAGTCAGGAGTGATTGCAGGCTGCTTAGGAGAACTGGACAAGCTGCAGAGGATGATTAGATGGCCACAGGAAGTTAAAGGTTCCTAGGGATAGGAGCTGGGGGAGGGGTGCAGGTGCTTGGCTAGTAGTGGTAGAACTGAACCAAGGGTTCTCCCAGGGTCTGGCAAAAGACCCAGGGCTGCAAGGCTGGAGGCAGCAGCACCATGAAAGGCAGGAGAGGGAACTCACATGAGTGAGAGAAGGGAGACTGCACTGCAGTGCTGAGGGAGCAGCACAAAGCTGACAGTGCCTTCTTGAGGTCTGGGAAAAGACCTCAGGACTGTAAGTTGTCCTGTATGGACTATGTTATGGGTATGTATTGAGGACTAGTTTGTATTGATTGCTGTGTAGTAAGGATGCCTGGAAATAAACATCTGGTGTGAGAGACTTAAGTTGACTGTTTTAGCTAAGCAATAACCTGCTACAGACTTCATCTCAAAACATTTAAATGGGTAAACTGCCTAAACTTATGATATGGAATATATCAGAACAAAAATAATTTGCCCAACCATTCCTTTTGAATAACTGATGTTAGCTCTACCTTTTCTACCTTTTGCACTGTCAACTTTGCAATTATATGATCTGGACTGTGAAGCCATAATAAGCTATGTGAATTCTAATATAAAAAAATCTAACATATCTTAAATGTGTTTTTTAACACACACAAAGAAGTGAGATCTTACAAAAAAATCCCAGTCTGAGTATAATACATCTATAAAGATTTGGAAGATCTGCCTCTGCCTCTAGCTGAAGATCTTTGACTGATATTTTCCAAATGGTTCAGGAATATTATTGGGGAATATTATTTTGCCTTTGATTAATATAATAGATAGATGTCTGTATATATAGATGTCCTTTTCTCTGAAAAGCTCTTGCACTCTCTGCAAAGGTTTGAAACTTGGTGGGGGGAGGGAAAAGTATGCGTTAGTGGTATGCCTCTGCCTTTCCTGTGCAATGGCCAAATTTGGGACCAAGATTTAAATCTTTCACTATTCATACGTGCTCACCAAAGGCACTTTAGCAGCTAAATACCCCAACTATATTGTGTTCCCATTAAGGAGCCTCCCCAGCAATTACACCTTATGTCTTCTGTGGGTTATTTGGGTTTAAAGCATGGAAACTGAGAGTTGGAAGCCTTCCCTCTCCTATGTTGACGGAAACCATCTGGCTGGGTGCAAGAATCATGGAAGAGAATTCTAATACGGATGGGCTCAGAACTGGCCTGGAGCTCTGGGCAGAAATGATTGGGACAAGGAACCAGATAGAAGTACAGAAGACCCAACTTCATTCAGTGTATAGGATAAGTCTGATCTGCAGGTGGACTGGACTTGTAGTGAAGGAGACATTCGCCTGAGTGATTTAATTAAAAGTAGCTGATGAATTTCAACTCTTTCAGAGAGAAAAGTCAAATTTTTGCTTTGCCCTCATTGCCAAACAGAAGATAAGTCTTCAAAATGGAATGGTTGATCCTATCTCTTATTGAACCAAGAATAGCTACAGAGTTCAATGCTTTGGGAGCATTAGCTGGTTTGGCAGGTGCTATGGACAGCATAGATCTGTACCACTTAAGCTAATTATCAGGAGAACATTCCACTGTGACTTAGCATGCATGTATATTTGGACCAACTAATTGTGGTGTAGCAGATGATGTATATAAAGCCAAAGTGTTTTATATACAAATTGATGGAACACTAAGGAAGATGCAGTAAAGTTGGTTAAAATAAATAAACAAATAAATGAATCAGCCATCAGTCAAAACACTAAGCAGCTGCAGCGGCAGCTTGATTGAAGCTCTGACAGAGCACAGCACCCTGCAGAAAGCATTCTCTTAACTATATGCTGCAGTGTGGCTGCCTGTAATACTGCTGGGTTGCAGGAAGACTTCTTTGAACATCTGTGCTGGAATGGCGGGATGGAGGGGAGTTGAGAAAGCATGGAGCTGAGTGAAGTCAGGGGCATCAAGGTGGGGTGGTGAGTAGTGGGCTCTTGGTTGGGAGGGGAAGGCACTATACAAAACCATTGCTGCAGTCGATCAGGGTTGGCAACCCAAGAAAAATGTTCTTGTTGCAAACTTTTTATTGACAACTCTTTTTATGTTGCTTTTTCCTCTACAGTTGAAGTTAAAACTCCTAAACGTTAACTTGGATCTTCTAACTGGCACCTGCCAGCAGGGTAGGGCCTGGCAAGAGTTTCATTTATATTATGTAAAACATGTTTCAGTAAAAAGTCTGGCCATCACTAAAAAGCTTGCAGACAGTCAGCAAAAAAAAAAAATGTTGTTGGGTTGACAACCTTGATAGTGACGTACTATTGCAGTGACTAACTTCCCAGCTTTCACTAGACTTTATAAAGGTACCTTACAGTATTGAAAATACGACAGAGATTTTGACTTGTCCGTTTCCAGAGACGGGGGCTCTTATTCTTCTTTAGTATATTAAAAGAAAATAAATAGATGTTGCGTGGAGGAGGGGACTCACCCCAACACACAGGAAGGGGCCACTATTTGTGGAACGCACAGGGAACACTTGTGCCTGCTGGGGATAATTTAACAGGCTTCAGAGATGGGGCAATTCCCCCAGAAGATGGCAGCTCTCCTTGCCCATACAGTGGAGGTACCTCCTCCAATCCCCACAACCACAAGCCTCAAATGCTGAGGGGATGGGGACTTTTCGTTTAAAAAAAACAATGTGCCCCAAGTCAAATCAATCCCAAATCCATGAGTCATTCAAGAACCATATGTGGCTCTGCTACTGGCAAATATCCTCCACCCCAGCCTGGGGCTTTAGATGCTTCCAAATCTTTTAGCAGGCTTCCTATGTGCAGGCCCAAGCCCAGAGACTAGTGTTTGGATGTCCCCTAAGTTTTGCTTGCCCTCAACTGTAGGTCTGCAGAAGCAAGCTAGGGAGATTTCCATAAAGTCAGTACATAGCCAAAATCTTCCCACTGGAAGTGAAAGTGGGAGGCTACTTATACATTACCTCTGTCAGGGTACTACCTCTGCCAAGAAAGTGGTTTTCCACTGCTAGTAGGAAAACCACCTTAGTGCTCATGGTATTTCCCCTGCCAGGGGGATGGAGACACTGCAGGGATGGGATACTGTGTGGCCCCTGCCAGTGGCACTGTTTCCAGGCCGTTGGGCAGTGCCTGGCTTCTCTGCACCCCATTTTTGCAGCCTTTTAGCTTTTAACTGTTCTTTGCTCCTGAGGAACTGGGCAGGGGCACCTCCTGCAGGAGCCCTGAGATGGGGGAAGCCCCCCAGTGAGTGCTGGGAGGGGTCACTAGGCTGGCACTGCCCCAGTTCCTCAGGGCAGTTTAAAAGGCAATTAGGACTGGTAGTAGAGATGATATCTTTTATTAGACCAACAAGAATATTGCAAAAAAAATTTGCGAAAACCTTACAATTAAAGATTTTTTTTTTTTTGCAAAAATCTTGTTGATCTAATGAAAGATATCATCTCTACTAGCAGTCCTGATTACCTTTTCCTCTAGACTAATACGACTACAACCTGGATACCTGACCCAGAGCACTTAACGCCCTGAAGACCCCGGCATTCACCTCACGACCCTCCCTACAGCACCCTATACCCACCGAGCGGGAGCCACGTTCCTTCGCTTCTATTGGCCACAAGGAGGAGGGCGGGGCACGCGGGGCTTAAAAGTATTCAAATAAGGGCGGAGCCTTGCGCGCCCCTCCCACGCAGCGCGGTGCATCCTGGGGCGGGAAGTCCAGCCAGCAGTCGCCGCCCGTCACGAAGCGGGGCCGAGCGACTGTGTTTCCCGGCATGACCCGCGGTGCGGCGCTGCTATAAATAGGGGGGTCCCGGCGGCGCGCGCGGTTCAGAAGTCGCGCGGTGAGTGCTGCGGGTTGAGTTAGAGAACGTGGATGAGGCCTGAGGTGGCGGCGGCGCAGGGCAGCCCCGGGCTGGCCCCGGCAGAGCTGGAGCAGCTGAAGCAGCGCGCGGCCGAGTGTGTGGAGCAGAGCGCGGCGCAGCTGGCCGCGCTGAGCCGCTGCATCTGGGCCCGACCCGAGCTGGCCTACGCGGAGCAACAAGCGCACGACGCCATGACGCGCTTCTTCACCGCACCGGAGCTGCCGGGCGCCGCCTGGGCCGTGCAGCCGCGCTACAAGCTCGACACCGCCTTCCGCGCCGACTGGGCCCCGGCCGAGTCCGCCGCCCCGGGCCCAGCGCCGCGCCCGCTGCACCTGGCCTTCCTGTGCGAGTACGACGCGCTGCCCGGCATCGGCCACGCCTGTGGCCACAACCTTATCGCCGAGGTGGGCGCCGCCGCGGCGCTGGGGCTCAAGGGCGCCCTGGAGAGTGCGGCCCCAGCGCCGGTGAAGGTGAGTCTTGCCCTCCCCCCTCCGCGGCCGCGGCCCCGCCTGACTGAGCGGCGCGTGTGACAGCCGTCCGCTCCTCCGCCCCTCAGGTGACGGTGCTGGGTACCCCGGCCGAGGAGGAGGGAGGTGGCAAAATCGACCTGATCGAGGCCGGGGCCTTCGACGATGTGGACGTGGTTTTCATGGCCCACCCAGCGCAGGAGGATGCAGCCTACCTGCCTGATGTAGCTGAGCACGAGTGAGTATTTGCCGTTCTCTCGTGCCACTCGACTATGCCGTGTCCCTGTCCCTTACCCAAGAAAGGGGCTCGCTAGGAGCAGCTTCTGTTGTAAGCAGGTGCTGGCATCCTAGGGAGCTGTGGCACTACAGCACCTGGGTGGATGTGAAGGCTGAGATGAGGTTTTTGTATCTTGTGAAATGCATGAGTCCAGCCTGCATCTGTTGTAAGGGAGAGCTTGTTCGGCTTGTTAAAAGGGTGGTATGATACAGCTGCCGGCCGGGGCAAGAGGGTCTGCTTGGGGACTTGGGAGCTCCCTTGCAAACCTGCAGGCAAATGAGCTGTTCCAAGGACTGGTCCTGGGGGGACTCTGCTAGTAACTTTTATTTCCAGCCTAATGGTTCCCTTTTCAGCACTGCCCCTTCCTGTTTCCACTTTGTCCTGCTCTCACTCACTCTAGGATGGATGGTAAGCATGGGTGCGCTGCATCTTCAAGCAGAATGCACCTATCTCTTAGCTTTCATATCCCACCCTAGTCAAAGAAGGTGTAGGACAACTTTAAGTGCTGGTGTAGTATGTTTTCCAGCAAACCCTTGTTTATGCTGATGTTACAATCTTTTACTCTCTTGTTTCAATTGTGTATTTTAGACATTTAACACATTGTGTTACTTTGTGTCTTGTTCAAGCTCTTTGGAGTTCATCAGAAAGATCTAGTTCCATCCTCTTCCCCCCAACCCCCACTTAAAATATATTTCTTTCTATTTGCAATGATGATACGGTAGCATTCAAACTAATTCTTGTGCCTTAAGGAATCAGCATTTGTTGAAAAAGCAAAGTGCTCTGGGGTTTCTTGAGGTAATGGGGATTGCACTTGTTAGCCAGAACAGGTCTTCAAGGGAGTTCTCAGGTTGTCAAGTTCAGTCTCTTGCTGTGGCAGATGGCCATGTCATATAATCCTTTTAATAAATTGTTCAAACTCTCTTAAAGCTGGGCAAGTTTTGGCCCCCCATAACTAATAGGAAGTCGGTTCTAAGACCTTGCGTTTGTGATGGTTGGGAACCTTCTAATTTTATATATGGCTAACTTATACGTATTTGTTCTGTTACCAGCATTTGTCCCAAAGCTCTAAGCATCTCTTCTTTTCCTGGTGTTTATCTCCAATGTATTTATAGACCAGTCGTATCCCCTGAGAGCTTTTGTGTAGTCTTGCTTTGCAAGGTAGGTTGTCCACTCTAGTCATCGTGCTAGTAGCCTGTCCCTGCACCTTTTCTGGCTTGGAGTTCATCTTTCTTGAATGTAGGCGACCAGAATTTTCCATGGCTTACCGATGATATTGCTACCACTCTGTCTCTGTCTAGCATTATCTTGCCTTTCTCATTACCACTTGTGGCTTAAAGTAATCTTACAATCACATGTGTGAGAGAAGCTCCTAAACTATAGCAGAAATTCTAAGTGCCAAATTGTGAGACTTTGTACTTTTTACTATTAAACTTACCATGCTTTTATTACACTAGTCTTCAAGGTTATTGAATTTTTTCTGTGTCCTAATCTAAATGTGCTTCATATTGGCAGTACCTTGAAGGACTCCACTAGTAATTTCTGTCCATGATTAATAGTTGCCCTTTCAGCATGACCTGCTGCTCTTTTCCCCTTTATCCAATTTCTTATCCACTTTAGAATTATAGTATTAATTCCCTGGCTTTTCCTGCTTAATTTCCCATGTGGCATTATATGAAATGGCTTGCTGAAATCCAGATAATGCGGTCAATCTCATCCTTTTTTTTAGAAAATCAGTTATCAAAAAATATTGAGTTAGTCTGGCACAGTCTACCTCTTGTAAAATCATACTTCATTTTATGCATTTCTGTTTACCTTCATATCTTCAGTTACTGTTTCCTTCAAAATATGTGCATCTTGCATATAGTTGTGGTCAGGGAAATTAGGTTGTAGTTGCCAGGATCTCATTCCCCTTTCTTAAATATAGGCAGCATGGGTGCTCCAAACTAGTTGTACCAGTATTTTTATTAAAAATCCTTGCTGCCAGACCTACCACATCATGGGAGTTCTTTCAGAATTTTGGGGTGCAGATCATTTAGTCCCCTGGCCCAAGTGCATCAAATTCTTTGGGACATCTTAGACACAACTCAGTTTCTGGTTTCATGCACATATTTCCATTAGTTATTTCTATTCAGCCATGTCCTTCGTGAAGTGTGAGGCAACATATTCATTTTAGTTTTTGTCTTGTTTTTTTCCCAGTGACTTGGAGATTTTTATTCTGCAACCTGTCTGTGCTACACTGCAGACACACTTCCTTTTCTAGACATGTGCATGAAAAGAATTCAAAGAATCTTTAGCTTTTTGTTTAATTTCATAGAAAATTAGGGTTGGAAGGGACCTCAGGAGGTCATCTAGTGCTCCCTGCTCAAAGCAGGGCCATCCCCACCTAGATCATTCCAGCCAGGGCTTTGTCAAGTCAGGCCTTAAAAACCTCCGAAGATGGAGATATCACAACCTCTCTAGGTAACCTGTTTCAGTGCTTCACCACCCTCCTAGTGAGAGGTTTTCCTAATATTGAACCTAAACTTCCCTTGCTGCAATTTGAGACCATTGCTCCTTGTCCTATCATCACTAAGAACAGTCTAGCTCGATCCTCTTATGGAACCACCTTCAGTTGGTTAGTTTCCTTTGACCTCAGCCTCACTTTTGGTAGTTCTCATTTTATCCTTATGCTTCCTTACCTCCAAAATGCAGGGTTTTTTTTTTATCACACTTTTCCACCCCACCCCATTCTTCGTCAACTCTCTCCCAACTTTTGCTTATGATTAGGGCCTTATCAAATTCATGGCAGAAGTCAGCTGTGCTGTGGCTCCTTTAATGTAACAAGTTCCTTCCTGTGTGCCTGCCCCCCCCCCCACCTCTCTGCTGCTGATTGGTGGAGGGGCCCTGCCTGTGGCTCACTCCTGATTGGTAGGGAAGTAAAAACCCTGGTTTTAAATGTGGTGCTGTTTTTTCCTCCCCACCAGTGGCTGCTGGGGCCCCTCGGCCAATCGGTGGCAGGAAGGCAAAAACAGCACCATGTTTCCAGCCATGTTTCTTGCTTCCATGCTGATCAGGAGCAAGTCTCAAGCAGGGCCACTCCACCAGTCAGCGGGGAGGAGGGGGCTGCATGTGGGGAGACCTGCAAAATTAGAGGAGATGCAGCACAGCCCACTTTGGCTGTGAAGTCGGTAGGGCCCTAATTATGATTTATTCATTTGGTTAAGCCCTGGAACCTTTTACTACAAGTTTTTTCCCTTCCCCCTTGCTTGGGATACAGGTCTCAGTTTCTGTATCTGTGATATAAAGGCATTCCAAAATGCATTTCAGTCCTGTATGAAATAACCTTGTTGCTATTTCTAAGGCCTTGGAATGCTTTTTCTTAAACCATATGTCTTAACTTGTTTAAGGATAGTGCTCCTTAAATTTAAGAGAAGCTATAGATATGTTTTGCTTTCTTCATTGTTCTGTTGACAGCCGTCCAGTTTGTTTGTCTGAATCATCAGTGGAACATTGAAAGGTTGGGTAGATAGATCTCAAAGTTCACTTAATGAAATTCTAGAAAATACTTAAAAAGGGGGTAATATGGTATCATCATTATTCTTGCTTCTCTACAGGTTTTTCTTGTGCAGGCTATAAAGCTCAAGTTCTGGTCTGCATGTTATGTGCTTCACTTTAAGATGGAGAGACTATACCACTGACAGTTACCCAAAATTAGTAGATTTCAAAATTCAGGTCTTTATGAAAAGAAATGGTAAAGGGAATGTAGGAATATTTATGGCAACTTCTAATTCAGTGGCTTTACAAGTGGGGCTTTTTTTACCTTAATTTACTGAGGGTTCAGGGGCTGGGAGTATACTTGGTATTTAAAAGCACTTCAAAATAACTTCTTTTCAAAAAAGATTATGCTTTTGAAAACTGGAAGGTGTTGATATTGGTGACAGGTAAGAACTTAAAGGTATAGATTTGATATTGCAATTACTTTTTTAACCATAAACTAAACTCTACATATGTTGCATTTAATTACTGGCAGGGCTGACTTCTTGCTCCTTGACTACTTCTCTTACTTGTGTTGCTTAAATAAGGTCTCTTACCTCCCTATAACTGCATGTTAGAGATGAAGCAGAAAAATTACAGGAAGCTTCCTTTATTTATAATTTGATTTAACTGAAGCCTGCTTAAAACCTTTGACTTGTCAGTCTCTGTCTTGAACCTATGCATTTCTGAAGGGTGGAATCTTTATGCCAGCACCTCCTTTGTTTTCTGCAAAGTGGTTGGGTGCTGAGAGGTTCTGTGATGAACTGGATTGCAGTTTATATAGCTTTTTATTACTATTGGCTTTTTATTATTACAGATTTAATTTTTAAATGCATGGTATACACTTTCAATGCATGTGGTTTTTTAGTTTTGCTTTTCAGTTTTGGAATGGTAGTACATTTGGGTAAGAATTTAATTTAAAGATTAAGTTTTTTCAAGACTTTCTGCTGCTCTAATGGTGGCTTAATATTCCCACATGCTAATTTATGCTAAATTGCTCATTAATTTTTCTCCTCGCAATACTTGAGTGTAACAAATTTAACTGTGTGGATCCAAATGAAATTTGTTTTTGACCCATTAAGCTTAAAATAAGTGCTCCCTTTTATTTCCTAGTGTAACTGTGAAATACTATGGAAAAGCTTCTCATGCTGCTGCTTATCCTTGGGAAGGAGTAAATGCATTAGATGCTGCTGTTCTTGCATACAACAATCTATCAGTTTTAAGACAGCAAATGAAACCTACCTGGAGAGTTCACGGTGAGAGTTTCTTTAAAATTTATGTCAAGCAAGTAAAACTTTAGGTTAGTCGGACAAAAGACAGCATTGTTACACTAAGATAGTACAGTCATTTCAAATATTGAAATAGCTATATTTGTTTCTAAAATACTTTTTTAGGGAACTCTTGTAATAGCAGGGAAGTTTAGAATTCATTGTTGAAAGCAAATGAATAGGGTGGAAGTATGAGTTAACATTATAAATGTTTTCCCCCAACATTTGTACGCTGCATGGGACAAATATATGTAAAGCTACACAAACAGCCATGACTGAATAATACCATGGTCTGACTCATGCCATAACTTATCAAAAATCAAGATATGAATGGGTGAAGAGTTTGTATTGGTGCAACTACTTATAAAACTGTTTTCAAAACTGAAAACCTGAAAATAATTTTTTAGGGTGGAGTGATCAGCCAGAGCAAGGTCTAACTTTGGTAATAAAAGCCATCTTGTGGCAGGCTCAGGTGCCTAGGCACTGGCTTGCAACAATAGCTCTAATTTTCCAGCAGACCTGCGTGCATAGAGTAGATATCTCTAAACTAATGTTTAGCATCAAAATATTCTAGACTTTGGGTCAATGAAGATTTTTTTTTTTTTTTTGCGAGACCCCATTGTAAAAATGACCATGTCATGAAATTTGTTTCTCAGTATTCCAAACAGGCTTGTTTTTCTTTCCCAACTTGAATGTATAAAAAAACTGCCAGCCTGGAAAGAAAATACCATGAACTTCAGGATATTTTAGCCAAAGAGAAATTGTACCCATAATTAATTTAAACTAGCTAGCTAACTTGGTGTGGATGTGTGCACTACACTCCTACAGTAAGTTTGGTTTTGTCTTTTTGGTTTTTTTCCCCCCTGTTACTTTAACAGCATATCTTCAAACACATTCTTCTCTGCTTGCTTGCCGGCTTCTCGTTGCATTCCGTCCCAAGGTCTTCTAATCTAGATCTAAGAACTTAAATTTTGAGGCTCTCTTCCATGTTCTGCAAACTAGTGGTTGCCATATCTTTGAAGACTGTAGAGGCTTTACTTTTTCCAGGTCTTTCATGTTCAGAATCAGTATCTTTGTGCTTTGAGACTACAGGATTTTGCTTCTTGACAGTCTTACATTTCCAGTCTCCAGTGACACTAAGCAACTAGTAGCATTCAGCAGTATTTTGCAAAACACCTGAAACTTCAAATATGCTAGGATAGGGTGCTTTCCAAAAATGATGGTATGACTGCAGGCTTACTTATTCCAAATATATGAATTAGCTGTGAAGTTCCTGGGGACCCTGACAGCAAGCCTGTCTGTGGTTTTAAGAACAAAAGAGAACCTTAGTTGACAGGTGAAGTTTTAATGCATTCCTGAGCAAGATATTCAGCACTATAAGAAACTGTACTTTAACTGTTAAATTACTTTATCAATAACTGGCTGCTTCTGTACTACATGTGAAAATGACATACTGGTATCCATTTGTTGAAGAATGCTTTCTGGTCAAATATGAACGCACCCCCCCCCCCCCCCCCAACAACCCTGTGTAAAATCAGATTTTTACAAAACTTAAAATCAGTAGAAATATATTTCCAAAGAATGAAGAGGTAGATTGAGTGTGAGGATTCTAGTAAGTTTACATTCCCCTGCATTGCAGCAAATGCAGATTACTACCAAGGAAGAATCCAAATGTTACACCAGTGCAGAAGAATCTGAAAATGACTAGAAACTCATCTCTGTCCAAACTGGCAAAGCAAAATGGGAACACGTGGCATAAGTGGTAAAGTAATTTTCTTTAAATTCTCTTTTTTTTTTTAATCTGTCATTCTGGAAGAAGGCTGGTATAACCAGTTTGCCTGTAACTGTGAGGGAGGAACATGAAAAATGAGGGGATATCCTTGTTTATCTTCAGTTATGGAGAAGTGCTTGGCTACATTTTAGATCAAATCCTTCTCTTGGACCTGATGAACTATTGTTGCATACTAGTTTGTTTAATTTCTCATGTGCCACAGTGTTAGTAAGACTGTTTCACTGCTTTAAATGTCTGCAGTTGATGGCAGGAGAGAATTGTACATGCTGGTCCTGCTCTCATTTTATTTATTTATTTGGAAATCAATTTAAATAACTCTGTCCAACAGAATGCTGCAATACCAACCTGAGAAGCCTTTTTCACATTATGCTTTTCTTATTCATGTAATTGTAAGAAATAAAAGAGAAGGGTTTTAAATAGGATGTTTTCAGTGCTTGCTAGCTTTTTTTCTCTCATACAATGTACACATTACACCCAAAATTGAGGTGCATGTATTAATTGGGGAAACCTGATTTTTTTGGTGTGTTTTTTTTTTTTTCCCCTTCCTGAATGAGATAGTCAGGAAACTGCTTTGATTCCTATTCTGCGGTACAGCAGCTGTTGCATTACTTGGGCAGCTGAGGGAGTCAGTTGACTCAATGACCCATTGTTCTTTACTCCAGAGTTGTTAACTACTGTCTCTCCTCTTTAATGGTCTTGGTGTTCCACTAATCAACTAACCTTTCTTGAGGCAGTTCTGTTTTCTGCTAGTTTGCCTTGATCTTTCTCCTCCTGTTTCACAGTGTTGGAGAGTCTTTAGCTCTTCTCAAAATCATGGATCCACCCATGGAGACAAGTCTCTAGCAGCAGGTAGGGTTTCAGCTGTAGTTAAACAGGAAAGGGAGGGTGAGGCAGCTGAAGAGTAGGTCTCTCCACTCTGCAGCCATAAATCTGGAAAAAAATCTTTTTTTTTTTCCCTTCATTCTGCCTTTCAAAAAACACAGTGTGCATTATATTCGGGGGCACAGTATATGTGAGAGAATACAGTATTTCCTTAGCTTGTGTTTTGATGCTTTCAACTGGTTTGTTCATTTAGCTCTTGGATAAGCAGCTTCTTAAGGCTAAGAATATATAAGGTTCCTTTATCTTCCGCAGCATTAACAGCTTGGCTTCTCTCTTTCAGGTGTAATAAAAAATGGTGGTGTGAAACCTAACATCATCCCTTCTTACTCTGAGCTAGAATTTTACTTGCGTGCCCCTTCTGTGACGGAGCTCTCTGTTCTGACAGAGAAAGCTGAAAACTGCTTCAAAGCTGCAGCGCTGGCCACTGGATGTAAAGTAAGAATTTCTTAGAGCTTGATTTAGTACTTTTTATCACACTGAAAGACGAGTTAGGATATTAAGTTCCCCTTCATAAGATTTTGTGATACATGGTTTGAAACAAACGTAAACTTACTATTTCATCAACTCAGAAAGGAGCGAATATACTATGCCCTTTTTTTAAAGCCTTGATTAAAGGCAGTCTGCCCTTTCTTTCCCAAACAGCTGGAGTTTTAGGTGAAGGCAGATTACATACATTTTAAATCGGTAGCTCCCAGTCTTTCAGGATTTGTGACTTCATTTCCTGTATACGTCTATCTTTTTCTGTTGAATTTCTCTGAGTCTTGCAAGTGATCTGACCTGCTTCTGATACAATCTCTGCTTTGGGAAATTAATGCAGTACATGTTAAGGTTGTTGTTTGGGCACTTTTAAATGATTGAGTGAGACTAAATGACTTTCAGCCCTGCTTGGTAGTATTTATTTTGGCTTTGTGGGGGTGATCTGAGGAGGAGGAAGTCCGCTGCTCAGTAAAGATGCTCTCTGGCTAAATACAGATGGTCAAAAACCACTAGGCTGAATCGATTCAATCTTTGCAGGTTAATCTAAGCAACATTGATTGAATTGGTAAGCAAGTGAACAGACATTCATTTGTGATTCTGGAAATGCAGCCACATGCCTGCAGTGGCCCAGGCCAGAAGCTGGAGGGCGCTAGAGCATGCCTCCCTGCTTGGCTGGAGCAGACAGCTTGGACCAAGGCTAGCCTGCCTACCCTGCAAGAGGGAGTTTGCAGGGCAGGTGCAAAGCATCCTGGTATGCCGGGGGGACAGTAAATTAGCTTGACTCTGGAGGGGATCTGGAATAGAACGGATTTAGGCTAAATTGGTTTGCTGTACTGTGGGGCTAGGAGTGAGCGGGCATGCGGGGCCAGCACCAGTGGGGCCCAGAGCAAGGTAGCAGGGGTGTGGGGTCCTGGCTGGCAGGGGCTCTATGGAGCTGGGCTGGCTCCTCTCTCTCCAAGCTGGCACAGACCATCCTGGCTCCATAGACATGGCGTTCCCAACCACTGGGCTGTGGGTTCTGCTGCCAGTAGTTGCATACAGGCAGCAGGGCAGCCCCAGGAGGGAGGCAGCTGGCTCTGTGTGCCCCATCCTGCTCCTGCTGCCATGGCCACCCCTGGGGCCTGTGCTGCCTGGGAGCAGGGAATTGTGCTGGGGTGGAGGATGAGGAGGCAGGTCTGCTGCTTGCTCCTAGCAGCGATCCTTCTTCCCGAGCAGCACCAGCTGGGTCCCCTCAGGCCACCACCTGCGCAGCCCTCACCCCATAAAAATTAAATTTAAACATATCAAATAAATCTGTAAATTTTATATAGTTTGCAGGTCCACAGTATAAAAGGGTTGGGAACCCCTGCCATAGGCCTACTGCCCCACAGTGGGCCCTGCCAGGTACCACACACCTGCTCACCCACTCACTTCCAGTCCCCTACTGCTGCTTTCCCCACTTCCTTGTTTGCCTGCCAGCCCCTCTGGACCACATGGCTTCCATACCCACAATACCATACCCCCACACATGCATCCACCCATAGCTCCCCACAAACCCCCCCCGACATCCCTGCGCACCCCACACAATATATGAGCAAGACTGCATTCTGAGCTAGTATGCAATCACATCTACATATATATAGCACAAATGCACACAAATCGAGACAAAAATATATTTTTAAATTAAATTAAAATTTATTATGGGTGTTTGATTTTTAGTATACAATTAGTTTTTCCCCCTAAGATGGCAGACCCTCTTCCCAAAAGGAGTACTTCCAGGGGCAAGGGGAAGGGACTTCCTGTGGCAAAAGTCAGAGGCCAAGGAGGCGGGACTTCTGGTCCCAAGATGACCAGGGGATGGGGCACCTGTCAAGGGGCAGGGCTACCCATGCAGCCCTTAACAGCTTGCCAAAACTCAGTAAGCGGCTCTTTGCCTGGAATAATTGTCTGCCTCTGTTCTATAGGGATTCACTCTTCTGGGACTTGAATCTGCGGTGGGAATTGGCAAGACTCTTAGCTTGGTTCTAGTTTAAGTTTTGGGGATTTTTTGACCAACAATAGTATTAATGAACTGTATGAAGAAGTAGAAAAGTCTTTGTCATTTTTCTTAAAGGAAATCATAACAATAACACTAGTAGTTTTTTCTCATGATCTCCATATCAATATAACATGTAAAATGTATCATGGGCTGATTTGTTCAGATTATTTAGGTGTTTAGTTAAACTGGATCTAACAAATGAAATATTGAATGTTACATAATACTTTTTCTTGGTTAGGTGGAAATAAAAGGTGATGGACATGATTACTATAATGTGCTTCCCAACAAGACTCTGCAGAAAATTTACAGAGAAAATGGAAAAAAGCTTGGAGTGGAATTTATTTCAGAAGAATCTATTTTAAATGGCTTGTCAGGTAACAATGGAAATCTTTGTATTTTTCTGTTGCTTAGATCCCTCCAAGTTGGTTTTGACCATTAACTTAAATTCTTAGTCAAGATTTGAAATTTTTCTTAGCTACATACATTCTCAATAGAAAATGGCGAGAGAGCAGAACTAAGCGAAGACTGCTTTGGTTATTAAAAAAATCAAATGAGTAAACCAAATCAACTGCCCCAAAAGGGCTATATTGCTAATACATGCTTTCATGTTGATCACTTCAAATGTTTATATAAGGGCATCTGTTATTTATGATGAAATAGAAAACAGTTACTTCTGGAATCTCTCAGCTTTAACCTTGGTCGGTAATGGAACCATCTCCCAAAATTCCCTATCATGGACTACACTTCTTTCAGGGGAAGCTCCTGTCTTGGGATTCATCAAAAAGAAGCCTTATTGGGGCGCCCTCTCCTAAAGAACCACCTGTAGCCAGCCCTTTCATGGCTTCACAAGGAAAAAGCCTCTGCCTTTGAGATCCTGGTTTCCCCAGTGATCCATAGCACCCCCACCTCAAAAAGCACCTTTTTCATCAGACTCTAGGACAGGTGTGTTTTCTTCTTCAAAAATGGGGCTAGGTCAGTGCTGACATCCCAAACAGCAAAGCAGACAGGTCAGCTGCAAACCAAACAGTCTGTATTGCACACCTTTCTTTGGACTCCACTCTGCCCTCCTTGGGACTACTCCTTTTTTCTCTCCGGCTTTCTGTCTTCTCTGGGACTAGGTCTGTCAGAGCCTTACCCCCTCTCCTGTTGAAAAACTGTAGTATTAACCCAGGGACTAACACTCATCCAGTCAAATCAAATAATCACATAAAACCAGTCAGGGAATAGTCTATGGCTGCCTGCTAAATCCAGACCAGAATATCCCCCTAGTGAAAAAGGCATCTAGATATCCTACTTATGCAATTGTTTACATCAACGCATGTTCACACTTGGTCCCCTATAGTGTCCCGGCTAGAACTCAGCCCACTTACCCTCTCTCATGGCATTCCTTACCTCCAGTTGCTGGTGCATCAGTCTTTCTTGCATCCTACCTTTTTGCCAGGTGGGTTCCTTCAGAGGTAAGTCTGTAGCTCTTCCATTGTCCTTGCCAGGCTCTTAATGGAAATCTAGAGGAACTGGTCTCAAACTTAGACTTCATGGCCTGGCTGTTCTTATCTGCGGAATATTTTGTCACCTCTTTTAAGGCTTCTGCTAAGCTTTGTGTGGTTTGAATCTGTTTAGGATTTTATTTTTTCTCAATTAAGAAAGAAGAAAGGTAATTTAAAGTGTTATAGAACAGAAAAGCCGTTAACAGATACGTGTACTTGTTACTACCTTCACCCCGGTGTTTAGCATTGTGAGGTTTATAGTTTCATAGATTTCATAGACATTAGGGCTGGAAGGGACCTCGGAAGAGCAGTGAGTCCAGCCCCTGCCCAAAGGGCAGGAAGTCAGCTGGGGTCATAAGATCCCAGCAAGATAAGCATCCAATTTGCTCTTGAAGGTATTCAATGTAGGTGCTTGAACCACCTCTTATGGCAGGCTGTTCCAGACCATGGGGGCTTGGACAGTAAAGAAATTCTTCCTTACGTCCAGCCTGAAACGGTCTTGCAGTAGTTTATGACCGTTTGACCTCGTCATCCCTTGGGGCGCTCTGGTGAACAAACAGTTTTAATTATGTGTACTTGCTGCCCCAGCATTTGAGGCAATGACACAGGGTGGGCAAAATATGGCCTGCAGGCAGGCACCCACCATGTAAATGTATCCCACCCTGCCAGTGGCTGCCCTTGCTGTACTATTTTTGAGGCCACATGTCACCTGCTCCCACCTTCAGTAGTGCATGCTGTGCTCCCAGCCTCTCCCGCTGGAGGGTGCCAACCCCAGCCAGCAGGCACAGCTTCTGGGGAAGACTGCTGCTGACGTTGCTGCAGCCACTCTGGGAACTTCTGGGCTCTCCCAGCCTCCAGTAACTCTTCTTCCTGTCCCTGCTGCAGTGCTCTGGCCAGCAGGTAGGGATGGGAAGCTTCAGTGTTGAGGGGAGCAGGGTGGGCTCTGCCTACAGCTGGTTTTGGGTCCTGCTCATGCATAGCGGGGTGGGGAAGTGTGTGGAGGGAGGGAGGGTGTGAAGGAGCTTGGCTGCAGAGAGACAGATAGGCATGGGACAGGCAGGTGGGGTGGGAGCAGCAGCAGGAGCCATTGTGCACTTGGCATAGTCCCACTGGGAACGCACATGGGATGTAAGCAGCAGCAGGAGCCAGTGTAGACTTGGCTGCAGCCCCACTGGGTGATGCTCACATGTGGCCGCTGACACCCACTGCCCTGCTGTCCCACAGGTGGTTGCACATGCGGCTTTGTGGGCTGCTGACAGGCCTCGTGCCTGGCCAGTCATGTGCTGCCCATCAGCAACCTGCGGAGTTGCACATGCAGCCAGCTGTAGAAAAGTGGTGTGCAGTTGTGGCTGCTGCATGCAACTCCGCCCCCAGTTTGGCAGTGCCTGTGCAGCCTCACCATGGCCCCCCTGCCCCTGCTCCTGGGAGAAACATACTCCACATCCCCTGCTGTCATTGAGGCCCTTGCAGTGGCCAATAAGGAGAGTGAGCTGGGGTGAGGATGGGAAAGCACTGCGGTGTGCCGTGGGGCCAGTGGTGCCTGGCACGCCCCTCCCGCTCCCCTGAGTAAGAAGTGAGCGTGCTAGGGGAGGCACTGCTGCCGCAGCCCGGGGCATGCTCTTTCCCTGCCCACCTGCCTACCTGCATGTACCCCTGAAGACCTTTCTAAGTACCCTTGGGGGTACATGTACTGTTTGCACCACTGTCCACCATATAGTGCTTAGGGATCGTTAAATCGCAATTAACCGTTAAATGGAGTGTGAAATACAAACACAGAGAACTCAAGTGTCCCAGAATCAAAGTCTAACTTTATTACTACAACAAGTATTATCTTAGCAGTTTCTATATTCAGAGAGAAAAACACTTAGTATAATGATCTCATCCAATCCCAGGTGTTACTACTTTTCTCAGAAAAGACAGCTACTCAGTTCCTGAAGCAAAGGCAATCCAGGCAGGTGTTGAAAGCTGGATTCAAGATGAAAATGACGATGACGATGGCACACTTAACTTTCTTGCTCCCCTCTTTTATACTCTTCTTTAACTTGACTCCTTGTTTTCGGCTTGGTTTCTCTGCAGTCAGCATATTGTCCATATTTTATCCTGTTGGCATATGCCTTTGTTCAACAGACCCATTAGGAGCATGCCTCTTAATTTGGCCTTTTTCTAGTGGGTTACTTTAAGCATTGTCTGTTGGTCTCCTCCTTTATCACCTTTCATTAACATATCTAATCATCATCCATCTGATTCAGCTGGTTAGTGCCAAGTTCAGTTAATTTGAGCTAGTAACAAAACTAGTACTATTTTGTATTAGAAAAAAAACTTCTCACAGTGATAGTAGAAGGAAAGAAACATCATGCGAGCAAACTCAAGGCTGTAAGATGCTTGCAAGAAACAAAGCCAGCTGATGTTGCAAACACCAGCAAAAAGAAAACTTTAAAACAATACTATTATTCACCACTCTATAAACAGGTGCAACTTCAAAGCATAAAATATGTCAAGCCACCCTAATAGGTACCCCTGGTTGACAATCTCTGACTTAATATATTGAATGACTTCAGAAAACCATGTTATGTGGTTATAAACCTGATTGCAATCAGCAGCAAGAAAAATGATCCATAGTTTTGCTTCAAAGCAGGGAAAAATAGGTTCTCTTTCTAATGCAACAGGCAGCAGTGTTTTTCCAACACTGGGCTGGAATGACCCAGCTCAGGTGTGAGGCAGGCTGGCACTAGACCCTGGTGGCTGGGTTCAGGCTGGAGCCAATAGCTTTTTTGGGCTAGATCCTGCCTGTGGGCTACAGGTTGCCAGTCCCTGCTCTAATAAATTGTTTCTAATCAGATGGAGCAAAAATACTCTTGTTTCCAGCAGTTCATGCTTTATTTTTCTGTTCACTTAAAAAAAACAAAAACAAAAAAACCCAGATAGGACTGGGAATCTATTAATCTGGTTTAGGGTAGGCAATACTGTAATACAGCCCTTCTGGGGCTTTTTTTTCTCTTTACAGATCTTGGAAATGTTGACTCGAAGTAGGCTGACAGTTCAGGCTATTGGATAAGTTTAAGGTTCAGTATAAGGGTTATGACAGCACTAAGAGTTTTCTTGAATCTGCTAAATTTGTGTGTGAAAAGTTTGTGAGAGAGAGTATTTTTTGTTCTTCCTCCATTTTGACTAGCAAGTTATTTGGCCTTGTAGGGTGCAGACAGGAAGCGTAGCTCCCAGCTGTAACGCACAAAGATTTATGTAAAATGTTCTGAGTTACAATGTTACCCCAGACCAAACAGAAGTTCACTCTTGGTTCCAGGGGTGAAGGGAATGGAGCTGGGGCTGGGAGCTTACAGCCAGGTTCCCT